CTGCCACATGCACAATCGAGGCCCTTCTTATAGCAACACTTGTCTAATAGTGTCATCCAAGCCACCAGAACATATCACAGAATTTGGTCACGTTTCCAGGATCTTCTTAGACCAGATAGTGGTTTGATGTGGGATGCTTTTCACACGAAGTGTGCACTCATCTACTAAGCTGCACACCTTTCCAATGGGATGGAGGGGCCATAGCAAAATCAAAGGAAATCCTGGATAATGTGCATGTGACATACATAACTGAAACATTGTTGTATTAATACTGTCTATGCCCTAAATTACTACTTCATCACACTAGAGTATGAATCCATTTTAAATCCAATTTGAAACACTCTTACATCAAGATTTCATTGCCCCTAAAATGAATGGAGTTTCCAGTCCTCCCTTAAATCCACTTGTTGCTACCCCCAAGTTTTCATCGTTTCAGCAGTTCATTTAGAGCTGCTGTGGGCAGGCGTGTAGCCGGGGGGGGGGGGGGCTTGAGGGGCTTCAGCCCCCCCCCAAATTCTCATGGTGGTCGCGAAAAGGCCTTACTGGTGCATTATTTAAACTGTTATGTTTATTCCTATCATGATCTGATCACCATACTCAATATATCCCATATGCATGGGGGTATTGGGGTAATGATACAAAAGGTTTGCTAGGCTAGACCCTCTTTCACTCAGACTCAGCCCCCCCCCGAAACAAACTCAGCCCCCCCCCCCCCCACCCCCGAATCGAAATCCTGGCTACGGGCCTGGCTGTGAGTGAGTAATTTTATTACTGCCACCATTAAGAAACTGGTAGTCAGAAAGGAGGGGGAGCCAAAGATGGTATCAATTGTAGGATTTATGAATTAGAAGGGAGTAGAATAATAAGGGATAAAAATAATCAGATAGCGAATGGAGTTTTGTAGAATGCTTTTAATGTTTGTGGACTAGTTTAATTTGTGTGTGTATATGTGTGTTGGGGTATGCTTTGTTTTTGTGCTTGTCCTTTTGATGTAGGTTTATAGTTAGTTGTAGAAATTATAATGTAATTGTGTAGTTTTAGTGCTATATACCATAAAACCTTGCTTCTTTGTATTATTTATTAATAATTATTCAGCAAATGGTTACTCATTCAGATAAGAGGGGTTAGTCCATTGTTGAAATTTTTTTTTTTCTGTGTCGGGAGCAACTTGAGAAACTGCAAGTTGCTTCTGGTGAGAGAATTGGCTGTCTGCAAGGACGATGCTCAGCGGACGCCTGGATGTTTGATGTTTTAACCCATTGCACCACCGGGGGCTCCAATGAATAAATGAATGCAGGAATGAGGTCAAATAAAGCTTGCTAGTCTTTAAGATGCCATGTATCTTTGACTGAACTCTGGATACACCTTGGCATTCCTGGATGGGGTGGTGCATGGGATTATTATTATTTATTTCTAACTCGCCCTCTCTCCACGAAGGGACTCAGGGATGGGGAGTGATAGTGGTAATAGTGTGAATTAAACCACCTATCAGTAATTAGCTCATTCATGTGGCTTTTTTCTGGAATTAAAACTTCTGCTCTGTTCTTGCATTTTCTCTTGGCGTTTAAAACTACTGTTTTCTTTGTATTGTATTTAAATTCCCTAGGGATAGGTACTGAACTTACATATCCAGTTTCTCAGAGGACACCTCAGTCTGATGGCACTATGATAGATATCATGCCTCAGGGGACTACGAGGGTTGAATGAAAAGTAATGCCTCCACCTTCGTTACTTAGGTTTGGATGGGAATATTTTAATAAATCAAATGCAGAAATAATCCTTAGAATGTGCTCTTTAACTACCACTATTCACTTTTCCACATAATCACCAGACAATTGGATACATTTCTGCCAACAATGAACAGGTTTTCTGAAGCCGTCATGGAAGAAGTCGACACTCTGTTTCCGCAATCCATCGTGCACAGATCTTCCGATATTTTTTATTTATTTATTTATTTACTTACTTACTTTATTTATTTATATACTGCTTTTCTCAGCCCTCAGGCGATAGCCAAGCAAAGCAATAATGTGACCCACACATTCTTGTGAAATGCCAATTATGCTTGAAATTTCTCTCTGAGTGATACGACGATCATCCTGAATCAATCTGTCAACATTTTGCTTGTGAAACTCGGTGGTTGCTGTCACAGGACGTTGAACTCTTTGTTTGTTGTGCAAGTCAGATGTTCCCACCTCAACATCTTTGAACTTACTCACGCATAGTACTCACATCAACACAATCACCATAAACAGCTTACATCCTCTGATAAATCTCCTTTGGGGTGACACCTTCTGCTGTCAAGAATTCAATGACTGCACATTGCTTAAGTCGCATTGACCGACCGTCTGCACAGGGTTCCATACTTCACACTTTAACAACACAACTGTTCAATGCTAAGGCTTCCCACCAAAATGGAACTGTAGAGGAGAGTTTACTGAACAAGCCAGTACCTGCTGCATTCCAGTATTGCCATCTGTTGAGGAGTTACGAAGGCGGAGGCATTACGTTTCATTCAACCCTCGTTACATTGCTATTGTTAGCATCTTTGCATGTCCATAGGCTCCTTTCCCTTAAAAATTTCTTTGAGTTGTGTATTGTTTGGAATGTTTTCTGCATAGAATATCTAGTTCTCCAGCAGAATTTCAATCCGCCTTCTCAGGTGGCCCATGTCCCATCTTGGCTGTGGACACTAGAGTGGGCCGGTTGTTGTGGCTGGAAAGAATGGTAATCTCTCTTTCCCTGTCTCTTCTTATTCCAAACAGAGGCTTTTCATCCAGCTGCTGGCTGTGTTTGAGCAATTATCAGAAGGACTGGCGTCCTTGCTGGTGGGACGAAGTTGAGTCTGGGAGCTTATCCTTGTGGGTTTTTCTGCTGGGTGTTTCATAACCAAAGGGCAATTTTTTAATAGTAACTAGCCATCCCCTGCCACGTGTTGCTGTGGCCCACATGGGGGTTCTGTGAGGGAGGTTTGGACCAATTCTATCGTTGGTGGGGTTCAGAAAGCTCTGTTATTGTAGGTGAACTATAAATCCCAGCAACTACAACTCCCAAATGTCAAGATTCTATTTTCCCCAAACTCCACCAGTGTTCACATTTGGGCATATTGAGTATTCGTGTAGAGTTTTGTCCAGATCCATCATTGTTTGAGTCCACAGTGATCTCTGGATGTAGGTGAACTACAACTCCAAAACTCAAGGTCAGTGCCCACCAAAACATTCCAGTATTTTCTGTTAGTCATGGGAGAACTGTGTGCCAAGTTTAGTTCAATTCCATCGTTGATGGAGTTCAGAATACTCTTTGATTGTAGGTGAACTATAAATCCCTGCAACTACAACTCTCAAATGACAAAATCATACTTTTTTGAGTGATGGTCACTCCTTGTGTTGTGAGATGTTTTGTTGCCAAATTTTGTGGGATTTCGTTCATTGGTTCTTTTGTTTTTAAGGTACTCATTATGCACAGAGCATTTTTTATATATATAGATCATATATATATTGGGAGCATGCACCTGAATTGTGTGTACAAAGGGCCTATATGAATCCTGTGGTAATGTCACACCACCACTAAAATTGAAATACATTACAGTAGTCTCTTACTTATCCAACCTTCACTCATCCAACGTTCTGTATTCTCCAACACAGTCTGCCTTGCACCCGGATTCACAGTTGTTTCAATACATTGCAATGTTTTGGTGCTAAATTTGTAAATACAGCAATTACTACATAACGTTACTCTGTGTTGAACTGCTTTTTCTGACGATTTGTTGTAAAACATGTTGTTTTGGTGCTTAATTTGTAAAATCATGGCATAATTTGACATTTAACAGGTTTTTCCTTAATCCCTCCTTATTATCCAACATTTTCACTTATCCAACGTTCTGCCGGCCCATTTATGTTGGATGAGCGAGACTCTACTGTAGTTTGTGTTTTCCCTGTGCAGACCTTATATTTTACCTTCTGATATGAGTGCATGGGTTTTAGATATTTCAAAACTCTTGGCACACGGGGACAGACTGGTAAGGCCTGGATGATATTTTGTATACAATTTACATGAATCCAAAAAATAATAATCTTATTCCAGGCTAGGAGCAGGCAGGAAAATGTCTCTCTGAATACTTGATGGAACATACCTGATAGACTTAAGAGAGTGCTTTAATTTGACTGTGATGGAAAGGGGATGAAGCCCACAAGCGACAGATGCCAAATATCAGAAAACTGTGACCTAATTATCTCTTAAGTAATCAGATTTCAGAAAGAGAGAGAGAGAGAAAGGTATTCATCTGCTCCAGCATAAAAATAGAATTGTGGGAAGAGAATCTCACAGCAATTTATTTTAGTATGAGCTTTTGTGAAGTTGTATCCACTAAATAATAAGATCATGAAATGCAGTACTGTTCTCCTCCTTGTATGAAACATATGAAGCAGAAGTATTTTAATTGGCTTAAGCCTTAAGCAATGGACCAAGAAACAACAAAACCAAGTACAAGTGTTCCCTGAGTTACATACATCCAACTTACAAATGATTAATTGTATAAGAATGGAGGTGAGATAACAGAAAGTGAGAGAAATCCACCCCAGTGGATTTCAGTTGGGGAAAGGTGCCTCAACTGAAGCTTTATCACCAATCCTTGTTTCCACAACAAGCTAATTTTTTTTTCAAAATCCAAGTATCCCAAGGAAAGAAAGTAAGGTGAAATCTTCTACACAGACAGCCAATCAAACACTACAGGTGTGTTAACCCTTCCCTATGTTATCCAAAGCTTCTGTCCCTCCACCCCCCCCCCCCAATCTATATTTCTGGAGTTACACTTAAAAATATACCTGTTCTGACTTACATACAAAYTCAACTTAAGAACAAACCTACAGAACCTATTTGTTCRTATCTTGGGGACTGCCTGTATCAGCCTTCCACAGACTGTGACTGCTGGACTCTCTTCCAGAGGCTATCCATAGCTGCTAATGGCTGCTAATGTCCTTCCTCCATGCTTTTGCTCCCTACAGCGTTGCAAGGACCGGGTGAATGCCTTGGCCATTGCTGTGATGAACATGTGGCCAGGCATCAGGCTGCGGGTGACTGAGGGCTGGGATGAAGACGGACACCACCTTCCTGATTCTCTCCACTATGAGGGGCGTGCATTGGATATCACCACCTCTGACCGTGACAGAGAGAAATATGGCATGCTGGCCCGCTTGGCTGTAGAGGCTGGCTTTGATTGGGTTTACTATGAATCCAAAGCACATATTCATGTGTCAGTGAAGGCAGGTAAGTAGGAAAACTCTCATGTTTCCAGCCATGGAAAAGGCAGGGTGGGGGATGCAGAGGCCGTGGAATTGGTATAGCAAGACCCAAAGATCAGGCTCCATTCCTTGTCTAGAAGAAAAAGGCTTTTGATGTGAGTTTCTGCACGTGCCAGTGTGCTAAAACTCCCATCTCCATCCACTATCCACTATGCTGGATGGACTTGATGGGAGATACAGTTAAATATTTTTTTTGGTGAGCCACAACTTCCCCCACCCAAGTTTACAGAGACTACAGTAAAGAACAGACCAAGACCAAACATGGGCATGTTGCAACCTTAGGTAAACCATTTTAAGTACTGTCTGTTCCCCTGATCCTGGGACAAGAGGATTCTTTCCTGATTTAGTGCATGATCTTAAGTCTAGGAATTGAGCATGTGGCTCCTGAGGTGGGTCCAATGTGGCCATCAGGACCATTTCAATCCACCCAAAAGCCCTGATAAAAATTATTTGGCAAAACCACATATTTCTTTACCCCCCCCCAAAAAAAACCAACAACAATCTAGAGTGAAATGTCTTATAATCTCTTTTGGGGATGTAGAGTGCTCTTTGCAGCTATTCAGTACTCCAACCAACCCCCTGCAAACATCCAGAAATACAGCTACAGGTTGTTAATGCTATTTATGACTGCAATGACATTCTTCAGTGTTTCAGAGTACTAGAGGAGCTGAAAATGGCTTTTAAAGCTCTGAAGTATGTCTGTCCCCACATTAATGTCGATATCTCTTGTTTCCTCCATAGAGCTCCAGAGGCCAACCAGTCTCCACATTCTAAGCCAGGAGGGAAAGCATGTGTCTGACATCCTTTCCCTCCTCTTCCAGTTGAAGCTCACACTGGACCTCATTCCCACTGGCTTTCCTATTCCTCTTGTTGACTTGTTTTGCTTTCTTTTTGTGTGAGGAATCCTTTCCTTTCACTTGCTGCCATGAACAAAGAGGAGATGTCTGAATGCTGAGATGGCACAGCAGAACGAGAAAGTGTGCTTCCCACCCCTCACTTGTTGTGTGTCCTCAAGTCATTTCTGACTTATGGTGACTTTAAAGCTGTGGTTCCCAGCCTTTGGGCCTCCAGGTGTTTTGGACTTCAACTCCCAGAAATCCCAGCCATCTTACCAGTTGTTAGGATTTGTGGGAGGCCAGAAGGCCCAAAGATTGGGAATGACTGCTCTAAGGCAACAGTATCATGGAGCTTCCTCTGAGGCTGAAAGGCCTGCCCAAAATCACCCAGTGCAGTGGTTCTCAACCTGTGGGTCCCCAGGTGTTTTGGCCTACAACTCCCAGAAATCCCAGTCAGTTTACCAGCTGTTAGGATTTCTGGGAGTTGAAGGCCAAAACATCTGGGCACCCACAGGTTAAGAATCACTGACCTAGTGGGTTTAAGTAGCCAGCAACAGGGATTTGATTCCTGCCTCCAGAGTCATAGTCCAGTGCCCAGACTACTAGCTCTCTCTCCCCTACTTACAGAGTAAATGAAGCTCCCACCCCACGTGTGTCAAAATGCTGCTTACGACCGTCCTAGGACAGAGTTGCCCTTGAACCAGAGGCAAAGACTCCTGCATTCAAGTTGTAGTTCCTAGCAGATGCCAAAACATGGCCAAGGAAGTTGAGATGTTTCATTTTTATCCACAACTAGAGACTTGAAGCAATGGGCTGGAAGCCATCTGCTGGCACTTCTGACACTATCCCCTTGTTCTCCCCTAGATAACTCCATGGCAATTCGGGCTGGTGGCTGCTTTCCTGGGGATGCAGCTGTGACTTTACAGAATGGTGAGAAGAGAGGTCTCTCTGAACTTCGTCCCGGGGACTATGTGCTGAGTGTTGATCAGAATGGGCAGGTGACGCCTAGTGAGGTGTTGCTGTTCCTTGACCGAGACCAGCATCGGCAGGCCACGTTTGTGGCCATTGAGACAGACAGCCCCATGCACCGGCTGCTCCTCACTCCCTCACATCTCATCTTTGCTGCGCAGGATCCCACCAACAGCACAGCTGACTTCTCTCCAATCTTTGCCAGCCGGGTGCGTGTGGGGGACTCAGTGTTGGCGTACCAGGCTGGTAGCCCTCGACTGCACCCTGCCCAGGTGGTCCATGTGTGGTGGCAAGAGAGCACCGGCGTGTATGCCCCTTTGACTTCACACGGCACTATCCTTGTCAATGGGGTGCTGGCTTCCTGCTATGCCGTGCTTGAAAGCCACCACTGGGCACATCGTGCCTTCACCCCACTGCGACTCGTGCATGGCTTGTTCTCACTGCTGCCTCGGAAGGGAGAGGCTAGGAACTGCAGCACCCAGGAGAAAGGCATGCATTGGTACTCACAGTTTCTGTACCAGCTAGCACAGAGTGTACTGGGTCAGGATACCCTTCATCCATAGAGACTTTCCTGGCAATTTGTTTGCCCTACAAACAGAAACGCATTCAAACCATAAGGACAAGGTGTCTGACACCAATTTGGGCCTGCATATTTCATGACTAGTAGTGACCACGTTACCAAAAGCTCCTTGAAATACAAGGATTTGCGGCTGAATGAGAGAAGAGGGAAGTAAACAGAGGGAATGGGCTGTGTGTCTATGGAGGTGGATGGCATGAACCAATATGATTTGTCCATGTTAGGCTGTGGATGGGGGACCTTGAGCTAACTTCAGATGTCTTCATAGAGTTTGCAGATACCCATGGCATTCTGTGTTCTTCCTCCAAATTCAGGGCAAAAGTCATAAACCCTACTCGAATTTTGGGAAGTGACTCCCCCCCCCCCCCAATTTCCTGCTTTGTCCTGTGGTCTGTTCAATAAGCATAAACAGTGGCTCTTCCTCACTCCTAATTCAGCTGCTTAACTTGGACAGCTAGAGGATAATCATGGAGAGATTGAGCAAAAATAATATCTCATGGGTTGACGGAGCAGAATTTGGGACAGACATTTTCCCCACCTTGGGGACGTGCATTATAGCATGAACAACAACCAAGGTATCATATTGCCTTTTCTGAAGGAAATATGATACCAGCAATGTCCATGATGGTGGCAGAGTGGGCAGTTCATGAAGGACCAATCAATAAGCCTGAGACTCAACACAAAACAAGGGTGCTTTGAAAGTGTGCACGGGGTCACTTTATACCTGGGTATCCTTTACTTACCTGAATTTTACACTGGATTCACTGGAAGAGGAGAGTGATGAGCAGGGAGGCTCCAGTCTCTGAAGCACAAAGCTGGACTCCCGTGTGTATCCTGGAAAACCTGAGTGAGTGGTCCTTCCTGTGAGGGACATCTGCCTTCTCTTCTCTGCCTCCTAGGCCATGATTTACTGCCAGTGAAGGTCAGATGAGGTCAATCTGAATGCTTCTTTATCAAACTTTAAAATCTTTGCCACTTTCTTTCAAAGTCTACTGTAACAGGATTAACTCATAGCTGCCACTCCAGAGTTTTTATTTTTATATTTAAATAATGTGTAATTTAAGTGTGGTCTCCTTCCACCTTTCCCTCAAAGAATATACATCTGATATTCGCCAAGGAGAAGAAGGAGTATGTTATTTTTGTAAGCAGCCTTAACTTTTTAAATGTGTAAATAGTATTTCTGTGTTTAACTAAAGAGAATTTCTCTGAAACTTCTTGTATGAGATTTCTTGTAGTGAGCATGGTCTACTTGCATACTTGAAGGAAGGAAAGGTGGATCTTAAAAGAAACACACTTCTCTCAGAAAATCCCTCTTCTGAGTTCAGCATTTGCCTTGGATTGCCTCAAAATACCCTGTCCGCCTGCAACTGGTTGGTACTAAAGTGCCCAGAATCCTGGCCATTTGGACATTGTTTTCGTTCAACTTATAAACTGCAAGTTACTTCTGGTGTGAGAGAATTGGCCATCTGCAAGTACGTTGCCCAGGGGACGCCTGGATGTTTTACCATCCTGTGGGAGGCTTCTCTCATGTCCCCGCGTGAGAAGCTGGAGCTGACAGACGGGAGTTCACCCCACTCCCTGGATTCTAACCACAAACTTTTGGTCAGCATTCCTGCTGGCACAAGGGTTTAACCATTTAGACATAACTTGGGCTTATGGGACTTACAATACAAAATATTTGGGAGGACCTACACTTGTCTTGCAATGTTGTCTGGTTGCTGTGCCATGGTGTTCCATATTGCATAGCCAGAAGTGCCAGAAGAAACTGGCTGTGCATCATCATATTGGAAAATTTTGAACTTTGCATGCTTGCCCTGATTTCATAAATGACCTGCAAATGTGGGAGCTTTAATATGTATGTGTTGTATACAGGCCCATAATGGCTGCTTTTTGAACCATGAGATCTGCATGAACATTCTTGAAGGTGGATGGATGGATGGATCATCCTCATTGAAAAGAATGGAGCAGATTACATATGCAAGAGTGTGGGAACGTTGCTTTTTGCTGACTACAGATCCTTCAGATTCCCTTATCCCCTGGCCATCCATGTTAGGGATTTTGAGGGAACTTTTCCAAGCTCTGTGCTGGCTGGTTGACAACCCCAACCACACCAAGGATCATTCCACACTGCACAATTCCAGTGCTTTGATTCCACTTGAACTTCTTTGGCAACATTATATGGAATGCTAGGATATGGAATTTGGTTGGAGGCACCAGAGTAGATTTCTGACTAAGGATCATAGAGGCCCTCATCTGCCAGTCCATCACAAACTGGAATCAGTGAAACGGTCCTGAGATCTGACATCATTTCTGAAGTTGCAACCTCCATAGTCTTCCACTGTTGATGAATGAGTATTGGGGTGGGACCATGTTTCAGATGTGTTCAGAAAGTTCTGCCCATCCTGAACCCTGAAAGGCCATGGGCAGAAAGACTGAGACCTACCTTTGCCTGCCATATGGAAGTGCTGCTACCCATCAGAAGAGATACAGTTGGGTGAGACGGAGCAGCGGTCTTGCTCAGTCACTCCAGTCCTTTCCCTGGCTTGCCTTGCAGGGAACTGGCCTCCTTGCTGGCACTCCCTGCCATGCCTGGGAGGGTGCCCTGTCACCTCCCGTTGAGATGTTTGACATTGTGCCACCATTTCATACTCTTCCAATCCTGTTTCGCATTCCTGCCTCTGGCATTTGTATAATGAAGGTCAAGAGGGAGCTGGGAGCTGAGAGAGGCAACTGTTTACACGGGGGTGTGTGGGCGTGAAGTCTGGCGGCTTCTATGTCCTCTCTTGCTCTGTCTAGCTGCCCTTCCTCCCTTTCAGGCGGTAAATTGCCACCTGGGGGCGGGCGGGGGTTCCAGTGGCAAAGTGGCATTCGGGTGCCTTCTTTCGCAAGTATCTATGAAACTGGGGTAGAATGAGTTGGATGCGCACATAACTCTGAGCACCACATCTGTGAAAAGATCTTAAGTTGTTGTAAATTAATGCTTTCCTCTCCCCTGTCTCTCTTCTAGAGCTAAAAAAAAAACCCCAAACTAAATTGGTGGCGTTACTTAAATCAGATAGAACTACAGTAGACTCTCAATTAACTGGCACCCATTGGAGATTGGTAGATGCCAGATAAATGCAGTTTCTGGTTGTTTGAAAGTTACTATTAAAAATTGACTTAACTAATACTGTACCCCATCATATACCATACCATAAGTTCTGTATTGACAATATTAATAGGGAAATACAGCAATTGAAAGAAAATAAAGACAAATGTAACTTAAACTTTAATTTCCACTAAAAAATATTTTATTACAATTTTGTATTTAAAGTATTCTACCATTTTTTTTACCAGTTGCTTGAGTTCTGGTTAACTGAGAGTTTACTGTATGTTTAAAAATGATTCTGCTACAGGTTGATTACCAACTTTAGCTTGACCTGTTTGCCACCGTTTCAAGAAAGAACATGATGACTTCCTTCAACCTGGAGCTCCCTGTTGTTGAAAGTTCTTGAGTCTGCCTCAGAAGCTAGAACAGCCTAGAACACACATCTCTAGTCATAGAATCACAGAATCATAGAGTTGGAAGAGACCTTGTGAGCCATCCAGTCCAACCCCTTTCTGCCCAGAAACAGAAAAATCGCATTCAAAGCACCCCTGTCAGATAGCCATCCAGCCTCTGTTTAAAAACCTCCAAAGAAGGAGCCTCCACCACACTCTGGGGCAGAGAGTTCTGCTGCTGAACAGCTCTCCTTACAGTCAGGAAGTTCTTCCTAATGTTCAGGTGGAATTTCCTTCCCTGCAATTTGAAGCCATTGTTCCACATCCTGAATACAAGCTTGCTTGCTCCCTCCTCCCTCAATATTTATACATGGCCCTCATCATGTCTCCTCTCGGTCTTCTCTTCTGCAGGCTAAACATTCGCAGATCTTTAAGCTGCTCCTCATAGGGCTTGTTCTCCAGATCCTTGATCATTTTAGTCACATTGATGCTAACCATTTAGTATGTGATGCTAACCATTTCCCTCTATTTCTAGAGATGGAGCAGAGGCAAGGTGGAGGAGAAAGGGCAAGATGTTTGAAGCTCTTCAACTTGCCCTTCTGTCAAAATAGTCAACACTTCCTTACTTGAGGGGGAAGAAGGAACTGGAAGAATTGAAATTCTGGCTATAGAAAGTCATGCTCCATGGGCACATTGTCTTAATTTTTTCATTAATTTACACAACTCAGTACCATCATATTCTTGGACGAGGAACCGCTGGATATTTGCATCACCTGCTGCAGCAACTAATGTTCAAGAGGGTGATTCTGGAAGAAAACAGTGAAACTGGCTGATCAAAAATGTTTTGAAGCTTTTGTCTAACAAGCATGGATTCATTGAGCTGAGACACAAAGGGAGCCATCGGGATTTTATGGCTCTTCTGTCCTTTCAACAGTTCCTCCCGCCTCCCAAAGCATCATCTAATATCTAGTTGCCTTTCTTATGGTTAACTGGTGGTTGGTTTTGATCCAGTGTTATGTGAAAAGTTTCTGTACTTTTTGAAATAGAGTATTGCTGGGACATAATCCAGATGTAACTTTTACAAATTCTAACTGTTTCACTCAAGTATAACAACACAAGAGAGGAATAAGAGATGTTGATATACAGTGAGTTTGTTGACTTATCCTACTATTGTGTGGACCCCTTATTTTAAAAACATTAAGTAGTATCTTGCATAACAGTAGAACCTTGAACATCCAAAACAAGCAATCACATGAATAAATTAATATGTGAACTAGACATCATAGACATAAGATAAATAATAATATTGGAGCCCCCGGTAGCGCAGTGGGTTAAACCCCTGTGCTGGCAGGACTGAAGACCGACAGGTTGCAGGTTCAAATCCGGGGAGAGGTGGATGAGCTCCCTCTATCAGCTCCAGCTCCCCATGCGGGGACATGAGAGAAGCCTCCCATAAGGATGATAAAACATCAAATCATCCAGGCATCCTCTGGGCAACATCCTTGCAGACAGCCAATTCTCTCACACCAGAAGTGACTAGCAGAGTCTCAAGTCTCTCCTGACACGACTAATAAAAATAAAAATAATAATAGTAATATTAAAGTATTATTATTACTACAAGATGGAAGCAAAACATAATGATGGTGTCAGCAGAAATTTTACTGATAACACCTTCATGCATTTTCTGATATATCTTCCATTTAAACCAATATAATTCCTCTCAATTTTGTTTTAAAATGAGTTTATTCAGACTGTTTAATTACTTACTTCTCCCCATGGAGACTCATGGCAGCTAACAATCCTACACTTTGGTCACAATTTAAAACAAAGTAAATACATTAAAAAAACATTTCCATAAATAATACAGTGTTGATTTAGGATAAAATACAGTTAAATATAATAAATACATTGAAAATAGCATTTAAACCTCACAATACCACCCCCAGAGTTCCACCCACACCTACATCTTTTCTACATCATTTCTAGCTGTGTCTCGTGCTTGTTATTGCAGATACAATACATATTTGGATCAAGTCAAAATATGTGCGTTTGTCGGTAATTTTTCAAGGACTATTATCTTGCCATGATGGCCGGGTACAAAGCCTACAGTGAATCTCCGCCACATCAAAATACCAAAAGAAGGCCATAATCCTGAAAGGACCTTCTTTGGAGAATGTTGCTCCCACTGCTCTGTGTCTGCAGAGAGACTGGTGGGAGGGAAACAGCTTTATCTGCCCAAAAAGCCCTTTGGAGTCCAGTGTGGGGGTGATATAATGATGCAGCTGGCTTGGCCTTTTTTTGCATCACCTCAAAGTCTTTTGGATTTGCCTGCATACAGGATATGAGATTAGAAAGGTGACAATTGCATGGAGAATAATAATAGCCCCACCTGCTGCTCCCTTAATATCAGATGATGTTTCCTGCAGTAATTCTATTAGGTAAGATCTTCCTCCCAATGTCATGACAAACTTGGATTTAGCAGTGTTATGTCCAGCTCTTGTCATTGTAAAAGAGAGAGAAGTGCACTGGATGATTACATATTAATCTAGCCTACACTAGGGTAAAGGTAAAGGTTTTCCCCTGACATTAAGTCCAGTCGTGTCTGACTCTGGGGGTTGGTGCTCATCTCCATTTCGCAGCTGAAGAGCTACTGTTGTCCATAGACACCTCCAAGGTCATGTGGCCAGCATGACTGCATGGAGTGCTATTACTTTTCCTATTGATCTACTCA